CCCTTCCTCACTGTTTTCATACTTTCATCTCTGAAATGTGAATCTCTAACCCGGCCCGGAGACTTGGGACCTGGGGGCTGTTGGCTTTCACACTCATTCTCTCTCAGCACCACAGCAACATGTTCTCTGTCCCAATCTCAGCTTCTCCCGAAGGATCTCGGTGATAGCCTCCAGCTGCTCTCCATAGGCCTTTGACACTCTTGATTCCCCTACCTCGCTTCTTCCCCCACCCTTATTTCATAGCGTTTGCCTCTATGTGGGATTTATGCTTAGGGTCTGTCCCTGCTCCCACTCGCCCACCCACTACGATGAAGGCTTCCTAGGGAAGGCCTTTGCCAGTTTTATTTCTCCTATATCCCTGCACCACAAGAGCAGCTGGGACAGGCCAGGTGCACTCAACACTGTGCAGTCAACAGATGACCACTGCTGAGCGGCCACATGCTGCTGCTCTGTCGTGCGTGCTTGGCTCTTTGGACCCTATGACTTACTCTTACAACTCTACAACCACTCGTCTCTAAATAAATGCACATCCCATGAAGAGCAGGAACAGAGAAACCACGCGTTAGGCTGGATCGCACATGGAAGTCAGAGAATAAGGGAGAAAGCATAAACAGACCACAGGAAAGCGCAGTGTGAGTGAAATTATGTTTCTCGGGGGTGGGGACAGGCTTTAGGCACCTTTTGAAGAATATTGACCTCGATGGTCAATAATTAGACTTGACTTTGCTACAAACTCACTCTGCAACACGTGCTTCAAACGCCACCCCTGTAAAGGTGAGTAAGATGGAGTCCCTCCTGTCCTTTCCGGTGGCCACTGCTTCTAAAAGGGGTGATCTATAGGGCTCTGATTTGACTGAGAGCTGGGAGGTCTCATGTTTTAAAGCGGAGCGCCATATTCCCGGCTCTCTCTCTTCTCTCCTCTTCCTCTTCTCCATGCACGTGTCTCTCCCACAGGCCTGCGCACTCTCTATCCCTTTATCTCTAATAAACTCTTATAAGCGGATTCTGTCGTGTTTCGTGACGTTTCCTTGCAGGGTAAGAACACAACGCAGCTAAATAACTAACATTCCATGTGTCTTCCTATCGAAGGCGGTAGGACCTTTGAGGGCCACTCACTGTACTGAGAGGTCATCAAGCCATTGATGACTATCATAGTCCTTGAAGGGGACAGTAAGCCCCAGACCCTTCTTTCTGCCCTTTGCTCACTGGCCATGAGGTGAAGAGTTTTGGCTCATATGTCCAGCCTCTCGAGAAACTCAAAGCAACAGAGCCAAAACCATGAAGCGTGACCTCAGAACCACGAGCCAAAATAAGCCTTGTCTTTGAAGAAGCTGATTATCTCAGGTGTTTGCTACCGTGATAGAAAGCTAACACAGGGGCCACCGGAGAGAGGCTTTTCTTTCCCGGTTGTGGATATTGTAAAATTCCACTTGACTGTTCTCACGGCAAAACATCAAGGTGGATAAGACTTACTTTGGAGACTCAACGCTGATAAGAAGTCAGTCGTGCAGCATTGTCTCAGTGATAAAGGCAGGCTTCCCAGCTAGTGAGACCACGGAGGGCCACCCTTTTCAAGTATCACCATGTCTAAATAAAAGAGTGTATCAATGGAGGAGGGGAGGATGCTCTCTATGCTTGCAAAGAAAAGAAAGGCCAGAAGGAAACCCTGCTTCTACCTCCTAGTGACGGGCAGGGCTTTCACTTGAGACTTGGCCCTCCCAGGTGGTAAATAAAGGACTCTGTCTTCAGATGAGGACTGGGACGATAGCTGCTAGGCTGTTTTTGTTGTTGTTGTTTGTTTTGTTTTGTTTTTTTAACAGGGGTAAGACAATGGTTAAGTTCTAAGTCCTGCCTGCCATTTACTAATTACATGAGCCAGGTAGGTCATTAAACATGGGCCTCCACTTCTTCACCTGTAAATGGGAGTGATCATTACAGAAATGGCCCTTGAGTGTCGCCCAGAGGATTGTGTTAATATGTGCAAGGTACTCAGGACAGGGGCTGTAATTACAGCCCCACTAGCAAAGCCACATGCATGCCTCAGGCTTCTTGCTAGCCAACATTTGTCTCCTTTTATTCTGATGCAACTTTAAACCGGGAACGTATTTCCTTTCCATATAAGTATGTTCACACAGAAGAAAATGTGCTTAGCACAGAGATTCGCACAAGGGTCCATCCCAGAGCCAGCCATTTCTAATGGGTCAATTACTTTGTGGGTGTGTCTGGCATTCCTCTACTGCTTGGTAACAGAGGCAAGGCCCTGGTATGCTGCCTGGAGGATTTCTGGTCCAGGAACAGGTTGGTTTTGATTTCTCCATCTTCACATTGGCATTCTGGTGCCTAGCTCAACCTTAGCTTTGTTTTGTTGTTTGTTTGTTTGTACTTTCATTTGGAAAGCAAACACTTAGTAATCATGGGCCTGAGACCTCAGTCTCCAAAGCAGAAAGCCAGATGTCTCTCTAGGTTTCTTCCCAACAGTGGTACAAGCTGCGTTAGCTCCCTATCTGTCCCAGTCCAACAGGAAGGACTGCGCGGTGCCTGGGGCAGCTGTCTCTATTGTGGGCAGTTTTGCATGAGAACCTAAAGAGCTTTCTGAAATAAGGCAGATTCAGATTTATAGGAGCAAGAGAGTTGAAAGCATCAAAGACCATATGTGAGGGGCAGTGACTTCACTTTCTCAAGAAAGTCTCTTCAGTATTCCCCCTGAGTTCTGGGACCCTGCCTGGGACTCTGTAGGGATTCCTGTGAGTCTTTAAGCATCGCTCTGGAAAGGACTGGAGCTGTTTGCTGCTGACACCCATCAGTGTGGTGATGACATGCGTGTTCTCAAAGACTCCCTTCCTACTGGCATCTTGTTGGGTTGACTTCACCTTCTAGAATAAGTGGATTTCTATATTTTTTTAATACTTATGCTATCATATACGCTGCTTGGATAAAAGCATAGACCCACGATAGCTCTCAGAGCTGGCGGTAAACGTACCATGGCCATGTTGGGAAGCTGAGGTGGATGGAGCCAGCAGCCATAGCTCCGTTTCAGTCTTACAAATGCTGCAGTTTAAAACAATAGATTCACAGTAAGACAGATTTAGATGAAACAAGACTTAAAATGCTTTACAATGTGTATAAAAATGTACCTAGGCTTAAAAGAGAGAAAAAAAGAAATATATATAGTTATATAAAAAAAAGTTTTAAAAAATAAAGTCTTTAAAGAGACAATAAAATTAATATAAAAAATAAGCCACGTAAAGATGAATATTACACAGAAAATCTGGATTATGTTGTTTTTGGGAATTTTAACTACAGAAAAACATTTGATCGTAAAAGATGTTGAGTTAAACCAATATGTATATATTAAAGATACCTTGACTTCAAAATTTGGATGTAAGGATATGTTGCTTTGGAAAGGAGACTCTGCTTTTGTTCCCACAAAAAGCCAGAGGCTATGGATTTGTTCCAGATTAAGATACATCAGGTTTGACCAGCCAAGACCCCCTGAAAGGTCTCCAATGACACCATGGCCCAGATGATCCAACATCCAGAATGGTTTAAAGGCAACTGGCTCAGACAATACAGCCTCATGGACTATTCCATAATCCTAAAATTTTCTTTGTGTCCCTATAAGATACAGCACCCCCCTCCAGCAGGAAGTAGTAAGAAAAGCTACGCCCAAATTCCCAAATTATATGTAATTTTACTTTGTTAAGGTTAAAACCTTCCTTTTTGGAAAAAAAAGGGGGGGAGAGTGCTGTGGGATGTTCTTTATGGCAAATGTGTTGCTCTGATTGGTCAATTAAAAAATCACTGATTGGCCAGTGGCTAGGCAGGAAGTATAGGTGGGACTAACAGAGAGGAGAAAAGAAAGAACAGGAAGGCAGAAGGAGTCACTGCCAGCCCCCAGGACAAGTGCATGTGAGAATGCCTGTAAGCCACGAGCCACGTGGCAAGGTATAGATTTGTGAAAATGGATTAATTTAAGCTATAAGAACAGTTAACAAGAAGCCTGCCACAGCCATACAGTTTGTAACCAATAGAAGTCTCTGTGTTTACTTGGTTGGGTCTGAGCCACTGTGGGACTGGCAGGTGACAGAGATTTGTCCTGACTGTGGGCAAGGCAGGAAAACTCTAGCTATACTTTAAGCATCGCTCTGGAAAGGATTGGCGCTGTTTGCTGCTGACACTCATCAGTGTGGTGATGACATACGTGTTCCCAAAGACTCCCTTCCTACTGGCATCTTGTTGGGATGACTTCACCTTCCAGAATTAGTGGATTTCTATATTTTTTTAATTTTTTTAAATACTTATGTTATCATATTTTATTATTAGTTCATTAATATTTTCCCCAGCCCAATCACAGATTTGTAGTTTTATTTTGTTTTCCAGAGAAAGGAGAAAGAGCAGCTGGAGACAAGTAGATTAAAAAAAAAAAGTTAACACACTTTAAATGAATTATGAGACCCACTTAGGGTAGGGAAGAACTTGAGAAGGTCTATAGCAGAAGAATTCTAGGATGTCACCCTGTGCCTTGGGCTACAGGGACTGGCCTAGGAAGAGAACCAAGAATTACAGCACCATCACCTTGCAAATGTACAGCTTAAGATCCAAACAAGCAGTGTTCAGGGAACTTGAAGATGCAGCCCATTCTGAGTTTTTAAAGAGACACTTCCTGTATGGAATCTGAGAGAGAAAGAGGAAGCATCAAGAAGCCATATGGGCTGGCACAGGGGTCGGGGGAGCTTGGAGCAAAGGACAGAAAGGAGATTGAGTTAGATACTTGTCCTAGAAATGAGGATCCCTGTGGAAACTCAGGGTTGGTACTGAAAGCCCCCATCTTCAGACTCCCTAAAGACCCCATGCATTGACTAATAGGACAGGGTGCTCAGACTTAATCAGACTTCATTCTGTGCTCCTGTGACAGTTTTCGTCTGGCTGCTGGCCCAGCCTAGAACCTCTCTCTGCCGTTTCCTTCCTCCCCGGGGTCCGAAAGGAAAGGAGAAACAAGCAAGAACTGAGTAGAGGCAGAGAAGCTTTGGTTTGAGGAAGACGTGGGTCTCCAAACAGCTGACGGAGGACGGAGGGAAGTTAACCACCTAAGAGAATTGAGTGAGAGTACAGAGGCAGAACGCGCGCCCAGCAAAGGTGAGCGTGGGGGCCCACTGGGCATGGAGGGTTGAGAAAAAAAGGGGTAGGCTGAGGGGTGGATGTAGCGGCGCAGGACCTGGTAGGTTTGGTGGAGCCACAGCAAGGTACAACAGAGAACTGAGACACCCGGGTCTGAGCCAGCAGCAGGGCGACGTGGGAGTGTGACGCTGCGGTGGCCGAACAGGTGAGCGGCTGGGGCCCCGGGTCCCCGCCCTTGCCTCCTCCTACCGATTCTCCACCGCATTTGGCGCCTCCGCCGCTCCTCTCAGTTTGGGGTTTTGCAACTGGCAGCTGGCTTTTTTTTTTTCCCTCCTCCCCTGTCGAGGGCTCTCCTTCTTCTTTTAGGTTGCTCCACCCCGCCCAGGATCAGGCGAGGGGGAACCAGTTCAGCAGCTGCCAACTGGCGCCCAGCGCGGCCGCGAACACGGGAAGTGGAGTCCTGAGTGCGCGCTGCGGGGCGTTTGCTTCTCCCGCGCCCCGGCGACCCGCGTCCTCCCACCCGCACCCCTTCTCCACTTTTCCCCCCGTTTGCAATCACATGGCATTTTAAGAATGCTGGAAAGATGGCGGTAGCGGCGGCGGCGGCGGTGGCTGCGCCGGCTGGCGGGGGAGGCGGCCGGGCGCAGCGGAGCGGACTGCTGGAAGTTTTGGTGCGGGATCGTTGGCATAAAGTTCTGGTGAACTTGAGCGAGGACGCCCTGGTGTTGAGCTGCGAGGAGGGCGCTGCAGCGTACAACGGCATAGGGACTGCCACCAATGGCTCGTTCTGCAGGGGCTCCGGGACTGGACACCCGGGCACTGGTGTCACACAACCCCCGGACTCTCCCGCCGGGGTCCGCACAGCCTTCACCGATCTCCCGGAGCAGGTGCCTGAGTCCATCTCAAACCAGAAGAGGGGCGTGAAGGTGCTGAAGCAGGAGCTGGGAGGACTGGGCATTAGCATCAAAGGGGGCAAGGAGAACAAGATGCCCATACTCATCAGTAAGATCTTCAAGGGGCTGGCAGCGGATCAGACCCAAGCCCTGTATGTGGGCGATGCCATCCTGTCCGTGAACGGAGCAGACCTGCGGGACGCCACCCATGATGAGGCAGTGCAAGCACTGAAGCGCGCAGGCAAGGAAGTACTGTTGGAAGGTAAGGGGTTAATGCGGTGCGGGCCTTACCCCGCAGCACGCACCTACTCCTCTGCCCATCTGCACACTCACACTGGGCCACTCGCCCTGCAGGACTCCGTGGTGCCTATATTTTCGCAAATGCAGTGGCAGGCATAGACTTTTGACAACTTTTACCACCTGGGGGCAACTCATCTCCACCCTGGCTCTGACCCAGGGTGCTGTACTAACAGACTAGATTGCTTGGGATTTCTTGGCTTGAATGGGGTGCTTTCGTGCACGGTGTTAGAAGCTTAATACTTACAGGTGCGCCTGGTTTTATTTTATTTTATTTTTTTAAAGCTGCGGACAATCCAAGTGAAATGTAGATTCCTGGGAGGGGAACGGGAAATGGAGAGTAGATGGGATTTGCATCTGCCCACATTGCAAAGCAAGGCCACTGACTCATGGCAGCTCTGGGACTTTTCTACTTCGGCACAGTTTTCACAGCCTGGGCAATCCAGCCGTGAAGATTTGAACGGTAAAGAAGCCAGAGAGAGGTGGCAGTGTTTGAATGCTAACCTCAACCATGCTTCTCCACTTCCCTTCCCTCCGGCTGGAGAGTCCGTGAGGCTGTGCAGTTTTGAGGAGTGCCAAAGGCTGGGAAAGATGTTGCCGATTTAGGCACAAGTTCACTTCCCCAGCAGGGTGTTCAGCCGGTCAGTCCAGATTCCAGGTTCCTCTGGGTGGAGAGCTGGTGAAATGTTTCTTTCTGCTTGTGTCTCCCAGAGTAGTGTGAAATTGACTCTGCATTTGTAAGCAGGATTCCCTGCCCATGAATGTGAAGAACCTTAGAAACTATCTCTGAAGATCTGGTGTCTTCAACCCTATAATCAACCAATGGCCATGGAATAGGAAGTGCCAGTTTTCCTACATGTGGCAATGTGGGGGAAGAAGGAACTTGGCAGTTTCCCTTTCCCCAGATAGGTTTTCTCCTTCTCTGTAGCTCTTTGCACACTTTCACCTGCGCTAACATTGTGGGACCCTTTCATCGATTTTTCTCAGCTTCCTCTTAACTACAGATTGGGTTGTTTGGAGGTCTTTTATTTAGACAGGGGGCTCTCCAGAGCTTGGGTGCCCAATGACATACACGAAGGGTGAGTAAATAAAGGAAGTCAGCTGTTGAGACAGTATTCCAACCTACACTTGGTGATCGACTTAAGCCCTTAAATTAAGATGTAATCGGTTCCCTGTTCACTGTGGTGCTGGTGTGTGACACTGGGAAACTCAACTTTCCTTACATGTGACAGCTGATGCAGCTTCATGACCTGGAACACAAAGAGGCTTTTTATTGTTGTTGTTTGTTTGTCTGGAGGATTTGTAATGTCTTCAGATTAAATTGCCCCCCCCCCCCAGTTCCAGAAAGTAGAAGACTGTTTGGTTTTGGCTTGATGGTTAACATAAGTAAACAGGAAAAAAATTCTTGATCAAGTGTGTGTTGGTTTGGGTGGCAAGGGACAGGTAGGATCCGGTGAGAGTGTAGTTTGGACTGTAAGCTGCTGGGCACCCGCTTAGTTTGTGATCCTTACTGAAAATATGGAGGGAGGAGGTGAGAAAGACAGCTCATATTTTACTTCAGGCACTGCCCCTTACGCCATCCATCCCTTATTCCTGTCTTTGATTTCAGTTTAACGCACAATAACTTAGCAAGAAGGTTCAAAATGACTCTTCCACCAAAAGAGGAGAAAAAAGTGACTCCCTGGAGTTGAAAATAAACTTAGGAAAAGGCGTGTGTGTGTGTGTGTGTGTGTGTGTGTGTGTGTGTGTGTGTGTGTGTGTCTGTCTGTCTGTCTGTGTGTGTGTGTCTGTCTGTCTGTGAAAGGGTTGTGTACTTCTTAAAGAGAACTGGAAAATACATTCTGTAAAGAACTCTCCAGTGACATTCTAAAGAACAGTGCATCCTGTGTTACAGTCAGAACACCTAGGGGAGACCTGAGGTCTCCTAGGCATTCCTAGCCCAATTCTTCAGTAGTTGGAAGCTAATAAGAGCTGCCCAAGGAAGGAGGTATGACTTCAAACAATGCCCTCTCTTTACCACATCTTCCTTCCTTCCCACCTCATCTAGCTAGACAGAGTTGGAGCCTTGTGACTTGCATATTCTAGGCTAGCATTCTATCACTGAGCTTTACCCTCAGCCCACAAACTCAATGCCTCTTCTCTGAAGCCAAATATTTATTGTCATTCAGGGTGCCCACTGAGGTGGTAGTGGGCCCATACCATCATCCCAAATGGCACAACCCTCTTTTTTGTCATTTGGTGTAAAGCAAAGATTTCCAGGGAAGAGGCTTATTAAAACCACCTCCAAGGCTTTTGAAATTCTCATAACCTAGCAGAGTTTCAGGGTCTTCTTGTGCAAAGTGAGAGTAAGGAAAGTGTCATCTCTTTACTGCATTGGGTGACGCTGTGCAACAAGGAGAATACAGGGCACGCAAGTGCTCTCTCTACAGTTGTGCAGTTTCGATGAAATGCCCCTTCAAGATAGGGGATCTGTCTTATTTTTCTTAATTTGATATTTTTAGGCAAGGAATTATTTTGGCTCTTGATTTCTAATATCTATCTCTATCTCTGTCAATAAATCAATCATACTATCTCTCTGTCTATCTGTCTGTCCACCTGTCTATCTATCTATCTATCTATCTATCTACACCAAAACTCTAATGCCGAGAGAGCATTCCTCCAGAGGCCACAGGCATTAAATATAATCGGAGGAAAGAGACTTACAGTCGCTAACATTCCTGGAGCAGGCCCTGCTCTCATCTGCTTGGCAACTCCATGAGGTCAATACTGTTGTTTTTCACTTTCCTAAAAAAAAAAAAAAAAAAAAAAAAAAAAAAAAAACTAAAGCAACGACAACATAGCTAGGAGGGATCCAAGTCTATCTGATTTCCAAGGTCAAGTAACCTCTAGGTAAAGCTGATGGCTTGAGCTTCACCAGGGAACCATGCACTTGAACCAGTGGAAGTCACTGGGTTCCTGGCACATTCCCCACCTCTTCCCTGAGCAGGAAACTGCAATTGTGCAGTAAACTCAGATAGGAGAGACAAGAATAAGCATATGGTTTTCTAAATCAAATACACCAAGCATCTCACTATCAAAAGAAAGCTGCTAGGAGAGAACACAACTCTACAAATCAAAGTTGAACACACGGCCAACCAGGAGTGCAAACTCCAATTCTAATTTAAATTGTAAATCAGCCATAGCAAGTAAGCAATGTGTTAACTGAGTACTCATTAGAATTAAGATCAGAAAATTTTCCAATATGAACTTATTTCTCATTTTAAAGAGAGGAAGCAGATACCCCACATGCCACCATGTAATGTGGAGCTCTACATTCCCAAAGGGTATCATTCACGTAGACTACAATGTGACCAAAACCCTGTGTTGTTGGGTAGGACATGCCGGCATAGACATCCTGGGCAGTTCTAGATGCAAGGAATACCTTTATTATTGTTGTTGTTTAATTGGGTTTGGTTATAGTGTGCGTGTATGTGTGGCATGTATGTGTGGCATGTATGTGTGGCATGTATGTGTATATGTGTATAAGCAAGAGTTCAACATCAGTTCTGTTCCTCAGTGACTCTCCACCATAGGTTTTGAGACAGGCTCCAACTCTGAACCTTAACTCACTGATTTTCCAAGACTGACTAACCAGTGAGTTCCAGGGACCCTCATGTCTCTGCCTTCTCACCATGGGAATTATGCAAGTGTCTGCCATCCCCAGCTTTTTACCTTGGTGCTGGGAAACTGAACCTAGAACATCATGCTACCAGGCAAGCAGTTTACCAACTGAACTACCATATTCCCAGCCTTTGTCTTTAGTGTGTTAGTAAAACTTTAAGGAAATGTATCAGCATATTTGTAGCTGAAGCAACAATCAAATTAATTCATCCATAATTTTTTCAAGATAGAGGAGATGAGTTTCTGAAAGTTTTGTGTTAAAGTATGGAGGTAGGGTAGACAGAAAAAAACACTTGTTGCAAAGGTCCCCATGGAACTGGACCAGGCGGGGGGAAAAAACTCAAAGGAAAATGCCAAGGACAATTCTTGACAAAAACTGTGCCCAGAGGCTCCTCTATGAGCTGTGCTTCCAGGAGTGAGTGAAACAGAGCTCACTTGGGAAGTCACTCTGTAATTATCTTCTCTCGTGATGAGAGTAAGGACGGTGGGACAGAAAGGTGTGAGCTACAAATAGGTGGTGGTTTTTCTGGGGGGACTGGAAAAGAATCCAAACTTTAAGAATTTTACTTTGTTAAGTGTGGTGGTTTGAAGAAGAATGACCCCTATAGGGTAATATATTTGAGTGTTTGGTCTCCAGTTGGTGAAACTGTTTTGGGGGAAGGATCAGAAGGTGTGGTCTTGTTACAGGAGATGTATCACTGGGAGCAGGATTTGAGCTTTCACAGCTCCACTTCATTCTCAGATAATTCTCTCTCTGCCTCATGCTTGTGGATAAGATGTAAGCTCTTAGCTACTGCTCCAGTTCCATGCCTGCCTGCCTTCTGCCTTGCTCATCATGATACTCATAGACTCATCCTCTGAAACTGTAAGCAAGCCTCTGAATAAAATGCTTCCTTTTTGTAAGTTGCCTTAGTCATTGTATGTCTTCACAGCAATTAGCTTGGCTCTTATTTGTGAACACTTCAAGAGTATACTATAGGTCTTTGGATACCATTGCTTTTTGTTTTGTTTTGTTTTCATTGAATCCACTTTGTCAAATCCATAACTCAAGATGGAGAGGCATTTATGGTATCATTCAGGGTCTAGAAAAGTCTTTCACTGTGAAAGACTACCCAGGACATCTGTGATCCTTGGTTTCTATAACTGAACACCAGTCATGTGGCACTTGATTACTAAAATGCCTCTGTGCATTTCTGACTGCAACTGGAAAGGGTCTGCAGTCCTCTTCCTTGAGAATCAGTGTTCTTTAACAGTGCCCATGCCATCTTATCACATACTACTACCCAGCCTTTCTGAAATTCCTTT